TATAAATTAATTTTAATAATAAAATGAAAAAAAATTGATTATTTTTAATTACATAAAAAAATCGAGAATATTTGAGGGACCAATTTGCAATCTTTTAAATTGAATTTGGAATAATCAACTTCCAAAAAAATAATGAATGTATAGAAAATGTGGTATATAAAATATTTTCAGAATATTGTTTTTCATTTAAAAAAAATGTGAGCACTTATAAAAATAACTCTCACTAGGCAAATACTACTTAACAAATATTCTTGATTTAAAAAAAAAATTCAAAATTTAATCAAGTCCAAAAAATAGTTTTTTTAATGTTTTTATAAATTAATTTTAATAATAAAATGAAAAAAAAATTGATTATTTTTAATTACATAAAAAAATCGAGAATATTTGAGGGACCAATTTGCAATCTTTTAAATTGAATTTGGAATAATCAACTTCCAAAAAAATAATTTTGGGACCGACAAGCAATTTCCCAAATTGCATTTGGAATAATCAACATTCAAAAGTATTAGGATTAACATGCAATTTTTCAAACTGCATTTTGTAATATTTGAGGGACCAACATGTAATTTTTCAAATTACATTTGGAATATTTAACATTCAAAAGTGCGGGGACCAACATGTAATTTTTCAATTAGCATTTGGAATATTTAAGGAATCCCTGTGTAAATTTTTAAAATCAAATTTGGAATTGCCACCTCCATTGCAACAGTTTCAGTTTTTTCATCTTTCTTTCGCTCGAGTTAATGTTCATCATTTAAAAAAGATAGTTTTTATTTTTCATAATGGAGTAATGGAAATTGCATGAAAGTTATTGGTGGTGGGGAAGTTAATTTTCAAATTCAAAAACTCTACTCCTCCCTCCAATTGTTTTCATGCAATTCGGGTCGAGTTAGCCCACATGAGCAGGCCGTTTTATTCCAACATGGTACAAATCGATCAATTTTTTACCACAAATCAAGACCTTTACCCACTACATTTTGGTCGCTGAATGCTATATAAATATCACTAAAGACTTTCACTGACGATGAATCAGCGATCAATCAGCATCCATTGTTCTTTGGTCACTAAATCGCCTTCAGGAAATCTGTTTTTTTTGTAGTGCTTATTCCGAAATGTGGCGCTTAAAAAGGTTCAAATGGATCTTTAGCTACCACATAATAGCCTTTAGGAAATCTATTTTTTTTGTAGTGCTGGTTCCAAAATGTGGCACTTAAAAAGGTTCAAATGATGTGGTAAAGTGTCCAGAAAGGATCCCCATAAGAATATCGTAGCTTATGAGGTGCTGGCATTATCAAGATTAGTTGGGATCTATGGCTATATCTCTGTCTCATTCTCAGATTCTTGAAACAGTACTCGATATCCACTTCCAACTAATAAGCCAAAAGGCCCATTCTTCTCAATTGCCCTGGACGATAGGAGAGGATATCCTCTGTACACAAGTATAAAAATCGGGTTATGCTGCACTGCCAGTTGGGGGTTTACAGAACCCCCGCAGACTACTCACATACATAGGGTGGGAGGGTATTTGTGGGTTATTTTTTTAATGAGGTGGGTCGCATGCAGGGTGAGGCCCTGTGAACTAATTAATAAAAATCTGTCCAATCTTCTCCAAGTCTCATGCTCTTCTCACCTAATGATGTCACTGACTTTACTGGCTAAATAAGATCTAGAGGAGTACTGTTTGATACAGGGAGACCGAGGGAGCCACAGGTCTGACCATTCTCCATCCGCCATCGCAAACCCTTTTTAATTTACTCACTTCCCCCACATAATATGCATTCCAAAGAACACCAGTGTGATACTATTTTTCCTTGATGAGAAGTGCCATTATAGTCTACAGATACAATACAAGACATTACCATGCATTAATTAGTTAATTAATTTTTATAAATAGGACAAGAGATGTTACCTTGTGACGCTCTAATCATTTTTATCTTATCAATGTATGTACTATACAAGTAACAATTGCATATATTCAAATTTAAAAAGGAGTGCTGAAGTACTTGTACCAATATAGAATTCATTTTAATATACGTGCTTCAGCACCTTATTATACAAACATAAAGTTCCTTAGAAAGTACTTGAAGAAGTGCCCACATGGACGCCCTGTTTTTTGGCCGGGATTTCACCTTGGCCAAACAGGTTTATCCTTTTTTTGATTTCAACACTTCTTCAAGTACTTTCTAAGGAACTCTATATTTGTACTATGCCCTGTTTTTTGGCCGGGATTTCACCTTGGCCAAACAGGTTTATCCTTTTTTTGATTTCAACACTTCTTCAAGTACTTTCTAAGGAACTCTATATTTGTACTGTGCCCTGTTTTTTGGCCGGGATTTCACCCTGGCCAAATAGCACGGCCCAAAAAAAAAAAATTATTCTTAAGTATGCATCAAGTCTAAGAGTTCTCATTATTCTTACCACTCGAGCATTTGCAAGATGTAATAGGGTTTTCCTTTCATTTAGGAAAGCTATGATTTCATCCATTCAGGTCGATTTGTGGTCTACAACCAAGGCAACCACTCCACTTTTTGGCGGTGGCATGCCTTATTCTTCCTAGTGGAATGAAGCAAAATTTCATACATAGAGTGGTGCCAGATCCGTAAAGGAAAAGGGGGTTGTCGAGTTCTTCCACAACCTCGTTGGTCACGAGCCTAGCCAGTGCGTTCATGTGGTTGTTCAGAGATTTGAGGATTTGCTTTACCTCCACGGCTTTGAAGTTCCCAGCTTTGACTGGAAGGTCTGGAGGAAATAGGTCATTATTTCTTCTTCGGCTTAAAAGGATTCATTAATTTGATTAACAGTAAGTTGAGAATCACAATGTATTAACAGTAAGTTGAGAATCACTGATGGAAGACCCATCAATAAATAGCTCACTTGGATGTCTTTCTTTTCTCCAACTTCTCTGGTATCCATGTTAAACTCAATCAAGAAGTCGACTAGAGCTTGGCCCTTTCGAAGGTTTATAAGATATGTCGAATTAGCTTAGCTCTATTGCCCACTTAACCATCTGTCCCAAGGTATCAGGCCTTTGCAAAACTTGCCTTAACCATTAATTAGTCAAGACCTCAACACGATACTCGAAATTATATGGTCAAAGATTTCTAGAGGACTTCAACAAGGCAAACAACAACTTTTACATGGAGAATTCCATAGTTCTGCCTCGTGAAGGGCCTTGTTAACGTCGTATATGGGGTATTGTATCCCAACCTCCCCTTTTTATCATGGCACTAGTGGATTGCTCTAATACAGCCAAGTACAAGGAAAGGATCTGTTTTGCCATTAGCTTAGAAAGTACCGGTGGCTGGGATAGCTGCTTCTTGACACTTCGAAGGCTTCTTAATTAACATTCTTTAGTCCATTCAAACTTCTTTTTGCCACGCTGCAGATCATGGAAAGGCTCGTTGCCTTCGAAATGAAATGACTAAGGGCGGGTATTCATCCCATGAGGCTATTTACTTCTTTAGGTTGAGCGGAAGCTCTCATTTCGTTGATAGCCCGAATCTTCTCATTATTGGCTTCAATTTCTCGCCGGTTCATCATAAAAGCTCTAGAACTTACTAGAGCCAACTCCAAAGACGCACTTGAGCGGATAGAGCTTCATACTTTACTTGCAAAGGATCCCAAACATTTCACATTAAGTGTTGGACGTGATCTTCTACTGTCACACTTTTTACGAGCATGACGTCAACATAAACCACCAAGATGTTGCCAATTTTCTGGTCGAACATAGTGTTGGCTAGGCATTGGAACCTTTCCCCAGCACTTTTTAGTCCAAAAGGTATCCTCTTGAAGCAGGAATACTCCTGGTCAAGTCCATATATCGAGATCTGATTGTAGCAATAGTCCCATATCAGTGATGCACGACGTATACCCCCGCACAGGTATCGGGATCAAATTTGGACTCGAACAGAATCCGAAGGAGCAGCCTTGCTTAAAATTAAGTTACCAATCAAGGATTAAATTTGCAGTTGGCCCAAATAGTGACCAAACCGAAAGGTCACACTCGAACACTCGAGATACAACTGATTGGAAGCAGATGGTAGCCGCCAGAATGGGGCACCATAGCACTGGAATTAATGACAACCCTTCAACAAGGAAATAGGATTCGCAACTCCAATAATTTCCGTAGAAGATGCAGCCTGAAATTAAGGTTGCAGATGGGTCACGAACTCCTAGAAAGTGGCTGAGCAGCCTCGAGATTATGTTGCAGCCACTAGAAGAATGATTTGAGGTCAAAGTTGGGGGTCTTGAAAGAAGGGATCTAGTACTCGACTCAATTCGATACTGCAGTTTGAAGTGATACAATGCAGAAAAGATATTTCGTTTCTATCTAATCAAACAATAGAACACAATGGTAAATTTATAGGGGAAATGCTACATATACATAATTTTTGATACATAAGGATGTCCATCCTTTCACGTGGGTGGGACCCGCTCAAATTAAATATTCAAGTAGGCCCCACGTCACATGAAAAGGTGGATACCCTAACGCATAAAAAATTATGTACAAATATCTTTATCCAATTTATGGATTGCAGATATTGAAGTATTCTAAAAAAAGATATGTAGGGAAGAAGCTTGAATTATCCTAATTACAAAATATTGACTCTTTGGGAAAGCTTCCACAAATCTTCAACATGGTATGAACAAGTAATATGTTATGATAGAAAGAAGAATAAATCAATATATTAAACAAGCACAGAGCAAGTAACAAGCCTTGCTCCTTGTATCTGAAAGCCATTAGATTTATCTGAGGAGTTCAAGGCACTTATACCGACAGCAAATAATCATTTTCAGGATATAGTAAAATATGGCAAATGATCGAAATTATGTGAGAACAAAATAAACAAGTTTAACATTTGATTTGGATGCATAGAGATGCTTAGTAGGGAGCATACATACACCCAAAAAAAAAAAAAAAAAGGGGGGGTGAAAAAATAAAGTGAGTAAACCAGAATGACAACAAACCGGAGCAAGTTTAACATTTGATTTGGATGCATAGAGATGCTTAGTAGGGAGAAAAAAAACACCCAAAAAAAAAAAAAAAAAAGGAGGGTTGATAATATACAGTGAGTAACCAGAATTGACAACAAACCGGAGCTCTGCTACCGTTTTCTCTTTCGTCTGGACCTTTTTTCCAACTGAACATCACATGAATTAGTAGATAATATTTTGAAGTTGGCAGCTACGGAAGAACTCCACAAAGCCTGTTCAACATCTGATGGTTTGAATGTATTCCCATCTGTAGACAATTCCTGAAAATAATTTTCCCAAAAATGCATCATATCTACTTAGTGAACATGAAAAAGCAAGCATACAGCAAGTGAAAATTGAAGGAAAAACAGTCATTCCACGCAAAAGATCAGTTTCATACTGAAGTCAATACTTTTATTTTATTTTATTTTTTGTATGGGATCATTATATATAACAGTAAAAAATGAAGTCCACTAAGATAGAGCATGTGATGAAAGAGGCATTAGAAACACGCTGAAAATACACCAAAATTGAAATAAGAAATTGATTGTGATTTATTTCCACAGATTTCCTCTTTACCAAAAATTTTAAGAATAAATCGAAGCAGAGTTCAATTAACTTGTTCCTACAATTTCTCTCTTCTTCGTGTCTCCCGTTTTGCATCAGTTGATACCAAATCACCTCAGTCCAGTGATAAAATCCCATTCAAAAGCTACTATTCATGGTATGTCTGGTCTACAGAAGGGTTTTTTTAATGGTATTATTTGTAGAAGAAAAGAACTCTTGTTATTTGTTTTTTTTTTTAAAAAAAAAAAAGAAAGAATGAAAGAAAAAGGAAAAGCAGGTAGAGTTGTGAGAAAAGAAAACATTATCACAGCCCAAGTATCAAAAGTCTAACCCACCAAAGCAGCCCAATCACATAAACTCTAAGCCATCAGCCTACCACTAAAAATGACCTAAAAGAAACAAGCACAATAAGCTCAAACCTATTGCAAGAAAAGCCTCAAAAATCTGTCAATCACCCAGTGTGGACCTTACAATCAATCACAGCTATCCATGCGTGATACCTTCCTTTGGCACCCCCAATCCACAGGGCTCGGAATTGGCAGATGTACCTACCCATCCATCAGCATTCACCAAATGGCACAACACACAGTGGGAAGCACTACCATAGGGCAGGAACCCACCACCTAAACCAGTTCAATGTTATTTCCCCAAGTGTCTTGCCTTGTAGTCAAGATTTTATCTTACTCAGAGGATAACAATATAGAGTTCTACAACTCCAGCATCGTTGAAAATGCCTAACGCACCAGCTGCAACTACCTCATGTCAAGTTCTGGCCTTCATCAACATCTATTTCAAAAACTAAAACCACAAACGGCCACCTAGTATCTAGAGTTCACAACAAACATCATCATCCATCGGAGTCTACAGTCAGAGATGCCAATGTGCTTCCCAGACCTATTGATACATTTAGACCCTTTCTCTACAGTTCTTTTCTTGTTTAGCTTGTTTCTCAAGATCGTTATCTGTTTCACTAAACCAATGTTTAAAAAGGCTTAATCAGGTACCAAGTCATCTTTACCTCTATGAGGCAATACGTATGCCTCAAGATAGAATAATAAACTAATTCAAAAGAGCATATAATTACAAAAATATGTGCAACAAACCAGAAAACATTTTTAAAAATTCCTAACAAAACTAAAAGTTTAACTTGCAAACAAAAAGAAAATAAATCAATAATCAATAAGGTAGAAAATGTTAAATTTTCAAATTTGTAATCACAAAACTAAAGTATAATTTATTATTTATTAGTAAAAGACTAGAAGAAGAGACAACTAAAAAATTTCTTATATATTAACCTACTAATATGATTTTTTAAGGGAATCATTAACATAATCCTCGTCACTATAATTTTCTTCTCATTTTTTTCATCATCCTCCATTTGCAGTGGTGTTTTCGCTTTCTCCATAATATGAAATAACATGCTAAAAGCAAAGGCCAATATTTAAATTTCTAGAAAATGTAAGACAAACAAAGGAACACCTTAGTTGCCTTGAGATGTAAGTCCCACTAAGTCTGAGGCACCTCTATAAATAGAGGCGTAAGCCTCACAAATGACACTTGAGGTACGAATTTTGAGAGATGTGTTATGAAAGCCCCATATGACGTGGAACTCCCAAGGTGTCTCTACCTCAATAGTTTTTGTATACAATGCAGTAAACTTGCACTTTTAATTGAGTGTCTTCTTAAAAAGTATAAGTTAAAAATTAGAAAGTACATAAATCAAAATACAAAATTATATGGAAAAAATACAATTTGAATTTCTGCTTTCGTAAGTTATCATTTATTTTAAAATATAATTAAAAATAAAAATATTCACATTCCTACTTTATCTCATTCATTTAATATCTTGAAAAAGAACACCACAAGAACACACATCAACCTAGTTCTTCGAGTATCTTTCCAATTTCCATGCATTAGGTAAGACGTCATTCAAACTGATTAAAGTATATCATGTTATCTTCACTCTACACCCCCTATTTGTCATTACCATCACCATGAAGCTCAACGGACTCAAACAAACCCACAAAAACTATAAAGACAAGGTTGAAACCTTCCTAACCAATTTCAGAAATCCAAAAACTGATTCCGAAAGTTAAAAAGACTTCTCAACTACCATAGCCGGACCTAAGGAGAGGCCACCACCTCAGGCTCAACTTTTCAAGGAGCCAAAAAAAATTTCATTTCTTTGTTTAAAACCCACTAATCTCCCTCAATTCAATTGTTCAGCAGCATCGTTGAAGAAATCAAAACCTAGATGGCTTTAGCCTTGAGGCTTCTTCATAAATTACTTTTAATGGGTTGTTGCTCCTCTCGAAGACTCGAAGATGCCAGAAAATCTCCCTAAAACTCTCAAGAATTTCATATCTGAACTTTTAACATTTTTCTTCAATCTTCATCGCACTCAACTAACGGTTTGTTTCCTATCTTTTTTACATTACAATATGTGTTTTATCGGCCATAGTTAATCTTAAAAATTGACAAATTGAAAATATGCATTTTTAAAATTTTTAACGTTTTTTTTTTTCACAGGAAAATTGCTTGCTGTTATAATTTGGAAGTACTGTTTCAAGAGTGTACCTGGGATTTATTTTATTTTATTTTAGATGAAAAATGGCAATAGAATAGTGTGATTATGTGAATTGTAGCTTAAGTGGATTAATAGTACATTTTGTTCCTTTTCCCCTCCTTTTTGAGCAGATGATATTCAGTTTCTTCTCTGTGAATTTTTAATTCTAAGTCATGCAACTGGATAGTAGTTTTGCAATTAGATAATCCTTCTCCTGATTGATGTACCATGGGAAATTTGAGGGCAAGTATGAAACAATGAAGGGGATTTTAAGTCTTTGCATAGTGTTTAAATTAAGAATGGCTTCTGTACTTTCAGTTTTGACTTTATCATTGGTGGCCTCGCGATGAGGAAGACCAAGGTCGAAATACTTTATATCTAGCTCCAGAATTGGAAGTATAAGCTATAAAATTGTATAAAAATTAAGAGTATGGATTAGATATTCTTTTTCCCATGAAGATATAACAAATGTGATGTCCATAAAAAATACAGCTCTACTTATAGAAGTAGAATACTACATTCTCTTTAATCGACTTCCAGATAATCCGAGTTATTTCATAACCTGCATAATGTCCTCCTCTAGAATAAATATGACCCTGCTCTGAATAGAATAATAGAATCGACTGCATGCGTGCTAACTCTTATGAAGGTATTTGATTTTTTCTGTAATTATGGATTTCTGTACTCGTGTGCAAGTTTCAAAGAAAACTACTAAAAACAGATAGGTTCCGATGAACCACAAATAATATCTTTTAATCTTTGTTTCTTAAACTAATTTTAGTCATTTTATACACTAAATTTTAGGCAATATTAGTTGTTGAGCGATTTGAGTCAATTATGACTCCTAAATATGCGTCTGGGGCTCAAAAAAGGAAGAGAAAAAGAGTAGAGGCATTAATTCAAAGTCAGGCTAGAGATATGGACAAGTACTTTAACGGCAAGAAAAGAAAAAAGATGAAAGAAACATTGGAAAATTTAGTGTTTGAAGAACAACATAATCATAATGATAATTATAATGAGGATGGACCGAAAGAGAACGAGAAAATAATTAAACCTACCACTATGAATGAATCAAAGCAGAATGATGAAGATAGTGTTCAACATGAAGATTTAAATCAAGAGATTTTTTTTCTTTGAAAATTATAGAGAATCTGGATTGTTAGTACCATGGATTAAGCTAAACAAATGGCAAGTGAAATGGGAATTGAAACTCTATTTCGAGAAAAACGCATCATTCAAAGAAAGATGCAGTTCGATGAAAGTGACAGTGAAGAGGTAACACAATCAGCTGAAGAATCTTTTCGAATTCATTATTTTCTCTTTATAATTGATCAAGCTCAATTTTCACTTCAAACTCATTTTGAACAATTTAAACATTATGAAGAGACATTTAAATTTTTGTTCAATTTGGAGAAATTAAACAAAATACATGTTGGCAGTTTATTGAAATCTTGTGACAATCTTGAACAGTATTAGTAACATAATGGATGTTCAGACATTATTGGTGATGACTTATGTATGGAGTTGACAGTCTTGAAGTGCTATTTACCTAAAAAATAAAAAGAGCAATTGATGTGCTATATTACTTAAATAAAATGAATGGTTGTTTTCCAAATACTTGCATTGCTTACAAAATTTTGCTCACTATACCATATACAGTTACATCAACAGAAAGAAATTTCTTCGAGTTTAAATTCACTAAAAATTATCTCCGATCAAGTATGTCACGACAGAGATTGAATGGATTGGTCATGTTATCCATTGAAAAATAAATGGTTGAATAACTCAATTATACAAAAATGATTGATATTTTTGCCTCAAAATCTACAAGACAAGTTACATTTAAGTGATCGTTTAGAACATGTTTGTATTCTTATTTGATTGTAGTATAAATATTTTGACTATTTCATTTTATATGTTGCTTTATTGATGATTTTAAGTTAACAAATATTGTTAATTTTTTTATAAATGAAAAAATAGATTACTTGCTACGACTTAGGAGCCCAAATTCTGAAATTTGCCACAGGACCCGCAAAGCACAAGTATGGCACTATCAACTACATTTAGTGAAGACCAACATTCTTTACCAAGAGACAAAGATAAGCATTATGGTGAGAAAATAATACATGAATCAACTTTTGACCAACGTGTTATGCAACCTCATTCACCAGGTCAAACTTCAAGCTCTTATAAGCCCAACAACCATAAACAAGCACATGCTTATTGTAAGTGTTATACCCTAAATCCAATAGACTTTGGACATAGACACTTTTAATATATAATTAATGCGATTTATGATAGATCTATTATTTAATTAATTAAGATTCAATTGAGTTAAATAATGCAATCCTTAGATTCAAATCTTAGTAATTTGTTAACTATAAAGAGTTGTAATTGTGAGATACAAATTTCATATGATTGAATCTTAAATCGTCCGTAATCGTAAGTAATAACAAGATATGAATATAGTTATCATGGATAAACCATCACGTGTAGCATTTCTTACTTGTGAAGTAAATAATTAATCTCACAAACTAAAGTGTGATGACACTTGAATGAACACGTAGATGTTTTATTATAGAACAAATTATTGGAGACCCGCTGAGAGATTCCATATGGATAACTATCTGAGTGTCGATGGGCAATCTCTAATGTTCGGTAATGGAATTGGTCATTTAACTTGAGGTTATCATAGTGCTTTATATGAGGACAGTCATGCTTTGACGGTATTGGATATTGCTCTGCCAAAGGCCGCTAATACGGCATTGTCCGGGAATATGAAGAATCGTATGAAGGTTGTGAATGACCAATAACAAATTCATCACTCTTAGATAGTAAGAGATTATGATCCGTATTTCATTCAATTAAGTCAATAACGATATCCTTGATCAAGGTATACTCATAAGTCCAAAATTTCGACTTATATTAACTTAATCGTAAAATGAAAAATATGATCGATAATCAAAATTGACACACTTCCATATCTTATAATTGATCGGATCATATTGACGATAAGATTATAGTTTCACGGTAAACAAATAAATTTGATTTTGTCTTACTACGTGACATTTTTCGTCACATGTATTGTCATAACATATTGCTAGATGTCAATCTAAGACGATGAAGGAGAATCGGTGATAATTTAAAAGGGTATTTTAATTTATCAATTTTGATTAGATCAAAATAATAATTCACATCGTTAGTCATTGTGATTAGGAACCTGATAGGTCGCACACAAAAGAGAACTAGAAGATTGTGATTTGTCAATAAATTAATTTAACAAACGTTGAATAAATTAATTAATTGGATTGCTTATTTATAGGCCCAAATTAATTAATTTGATTAATTAATTCATGGACAGGATTTAATTAAATGGGTCAATTAAATATTGGACCGGATCATGAGACACGCCAAGCCCGTTTGGGTTAATATATATAAGCAACTAGAGTTTACAATTTTGAGGAGAATTTTATTCTTGCTAGCATAAGAGGAGCCTAGTTCCTGCAATCTTGTTCTCTGTGTGGAATTCTATTGGAGGCTGGACAATTGGATAGCTGTGGGTAGCAAATCAAGAATGTTGAAAACGAAAGAAAAGCAATGGAGTTTGCAGAATCAAAGAAATGTACAATTACTATCACAATTTTTATCTAAACACAAAGTAGATTCTAGGTAAGAATTGAAATCTATTTTATTTTTTGCTGTACATGATAAGTAAATTCCCAACACATATTTCTTGGGCTTACAAACACTTCCCAAAATACAACTAAAACAGCTTTGAATGACATTCTGAGAAGAGAAAAGCCCATAAGCCAGTTTGACACTATAGCAATCCGAACTGGCTCGTTTGATATGTATCAATGCTTATTGCAGCATTTTGTCATCCATAATTGTTTAATAATCCGCTCCAAGTTGAGCTCCTACATATGTTTAACTAGTTGAATAGGTAGAATGTCTATAAGCTTATTCTCTTTTAGACATAGCTCAGAGATTGAGATGGGAATTCAAGAAATTTATAGTTCACATTTGAATGTGAAAATTCTAATTCCTGACACGTCCTGATTCTATATATATATGTGCAGCAAACATAATCAAAGACCTCAAGTGAGAATCAAATGCAATTTCAGAGGGGGAATTCTCGGATTTGGTCCCCAAACAGGTGACTCAGCCAAACCCTATTAAATCCAAATTTGTCTCGAAGAAATCAAATGAAGGCAAAAGCTGATTCAGAAACTGTAGATGGTCTTTAATCAGATCCAAAAAGATGCAGAAAATAAATTTTCAGATTAAGGCAATCAGTATCTTTAGCACAGAAATATTGGAATACTTGAAGTCAAAAAAAGAAAAAAAAATTCATGTTGAGAATAGTAATCACTTCACAATCTAAATCCATTACACAAAGAACTAGAAAAACAAAAATTAAAGTTGCCACATAAACTGGCTAATCTGTGGAACACTTGGCATCTTTTATTCGCCTATTAAGGCATGGCTCTTTGTATTTGGTTAATGTTATTTTAAATAAATACAGTTGTCGAATTGTAAATGGACTCTGAAAATAACTGTTAAAATGTTGCAAACAATACAAAAAACTCATTCAAAGTCCATACAATTATTCATGTTTATCAATGGTCACTTGTCGTATAAACATGATCTTCTTTAAGATTGTGACTCCTCTGTGTTTGTATTTGCAAAATCCCCTACTGATAACTAAGTTTTCTAATGAAACTATTCAGTTATTCCCATTGATGCATAATTCAGAGTTACTTGAATAGCACTACCAACATTTCGCCAATTTAGCTTAATAGTCATTAGAAGCATGTCAAGAGTCCTAAACTTTTTCCAAATCCACTAAAATTTTTCAAATTTTGTTCAAGAAAGAATTATACGAGAAATCATTCACAGAAATATCAAAATTGGCAGTAATTTCAAACACAATTCAAATACGCTTAAAAAGGTATCACTTTGTCTTTCATTAAAATGAATCTGACCAACCTTTGCTTTCGTTTGCATCTTCTCCACAAACACCAAGTATTGCTTCAACGAGTAATCTTTCGAGTGCCCTATAGCCGCCACCATCGCCTACTTTCACAGTGACTAATAAAATCACACCCACAAAAAATCATCACAGAAAACGAAAGCAATTTTTTTTCCAATTACCTCATCGGACATGAATGGTGCAATATCCGGCGCGTAGGCGGCAAGAACGGCGGAGGCGGTTGCTGGGCCCACTCCTTTAAGCACAACCATCTCCGACACAGCCTTCGAAACATCAGGTAAGAACCCGAATGCCTTTTGGGACGCGGCTCTGACTGCGTCGTCGTTCAGTGAGGAAACGAAGTTCAAGAGGCGCGGCCTCCACTTGCCACGGGTCAGCTTCCACTGCATGAGCTTCGAGAGCTCCGGGGTGGTTATATAGGGAGACGGGGCTCGTTGGTGGAGAAGATTTGGGAGTTCTGTGCGGTAGAAATTGTCGAGCGAAATGAGGTTGGGCTTAATGAGGGTTTTGATATGGGTTTCGTAAGAATTGAGGGCATCTTGCCACAGAGTAACATCGGAGCATGTGAAGTCCATCACTGCAAAGTTTGAAAAAGTAGAGACCTTCAGTAATGGTCAGAAGGGAAGGTTAGTTTAGTGGTGGCTATGGAGGGGTGCCGGGGAAATCAGCGGTTTCGGTTCGAGTTATGCAGTGTAAATTTTTTTATATACATATTTTTCTTTTTTCCTGTTGAATGACGTTGAATTTCGATTTTTCTTTTTCCAGTTCTAATTTCAATGACGTGGCCACCACTTTAATTGACCTTTGCTATTGCTTTCAAAATATGGAATTAATTTCTTCAATTTCTTTCTAGGCAACGGTAATAGCCGCTTGAATCCGTAAGTATTCCTTTTTTATATGTGCCGCCACCTTCAACTATGAATTACGTTTGCCGGAAATGATTAGATTTCTATCCACACTTTTTACAAGTAAATTTCACTCTAAATTTATTCCTAATAAAATTTAAAAAATTTAAAAAAATATATATTATTTACATTCACGTTATATTCTAATATTGTGCTTACTAAATTTACTCATTTAAATAACATATATCCACATAAATTTTATATATTCATCTCATTTTAAATACATTCCTAACACTATGGATTCATTTTTTTTTTTTTTTTAGAATCTGTAAGGAAAATTCGTACTATAATGCAAATATTCACAATACATCATTCGTCATATCAATAACGAAATTATCTTAGCCTTGACAAAGTTACGAATTTATCATAAACTTACATAAAAGTTGAACTAATAATCACTCGTGAAGAATAAAAAACACAAACAGTTTTTTAAAACAGACATCAAATGTGTAAAATTTATTTGGAACTAGATTACTAGGGAAAAGTGAGAGTAGTTTAGTAATCATGTTTATATAACACCAAAACAATCTCAAATTAAGTCATCCGATAACTACCACTGCCCACAGTTTAGCTTCTTCTTGAAAATTTCCATAAACATTCTAGTATTGAAGAACTTGAATTCAGCAAAGGTCCAAATGATGCATTGTCTTGATTAACAGAATCTTTCAAAGTCAAGTATCGACTGTTTTGGGCATAAGAGAAATGGGCAACAAGGGGATCTAAAACGTAAAGCTGCAATGAGAGATTTTTTCCATTGGTATCTATTTAGGAATACCAATGGAAAAAATCTCTCATTGCAGTGATTTGATCATTCATCATATCCAACGTAAAGCTGTATAAAAACGTAAAATAAATACCAATGGAAAAAATTTGTTGGTAAATTTTCAATGTAAAGTTTAAAATATATTAAAATAATTAACAACGAAAAAATTCTATATAAATATATTAAATGTCGAGTTGAACAATCAAGACCAACTGATCTATTTATCGTGTGCAATTCTATTTTCATTTTCTTTGAAAATATAGTATGATTTCAAATTGAACTATAGCTCAAAATAACTGAATATTGATAAATGGTAGATTTCACAATTGGGAAGAGCGAAAAAATATGCCACCTGCTTTTATGTAGAACTCGAGAAAGGTGAACAAAAAGGAAAACTGTGAAATAATCTTAGGAAAAGATTCAATGTGGTGTTGATCGAAAACCCTGGATACCGTCTGCACGATGGTAGCGATGACACCACGAGATCTGCAAGTGGATGCACATCGCGATCTTTCTTGATAAAATTCATTGAAGAGTTATCTTGAAATAATACTTCATCCAACCATTTATTCAGCTCATTGGATGATGAGATCACATCAGGCTTTGTTGCAGGGATGATCATTTGTTGGTTAGGCAAGCCCAAATGTACAACCATATCTTAAACTTATTCACTTTGCTTGAGGCTGCTGCGTCAAGGGTTCGAATCCTGAAATATGGATTTGGCTCTTGAGTAAGTGCAAGTGTACAAGCAGCCTTCCACCCTGTACCCTTGGAGGCATAACTTGCGATTTACCTCCCTCACGATACTCCAGGATAGGGGTGGTGGGGGACCCTTAAAATTAGGGTTTAACCTTTATATCTTAAACTTATTCATAATAAATGAACAACTCAAATCATTTAATTTGGATTCAGTTAGAGAATGAAGTAAGTACAACGCCACTTGATCTTTCTTTCGTGCTTACCCTTACCAAATCAAATAACGACGTGATATAACCAACTAACAACTCTTGATATCGATATTATTGTTTATTCACTATGTGGATGCAGACGTATTTAATTATCTTACTTAATATGTGACACATCTTTACAATAAAGTTATGCAATTAGCTTATTAATTATTATTATTCGTTCAAAATATATTTGTTCCATATTAATCAATTTGGTAATTGATTTGTTATTAGATTTTTTAAATTTAAAATTTAAAGTTCGAGCAAAATTTGCCACTTAACAAGGATAATGCTCCAAATTAAAAATTAATTTGACTAAACTAATAGCATTCATAAAATGTTACTAGTTTTTTATAATTAAATATAAATCAAAATCAATTAAGAGCTACACGTTCTCCCATTCTGCAGTCGTTTTCAATTTTTATGGTCTAAAATAAAAATGCGCTTATCACCAGAAAATGGTAAATAAGTGAAAACTGAGACCGCTATTCGCTAAATTAGAATTAAGGGTCCGTTTGATTGTAAAGATGAAATTAAATTGAATTGAAAACGAATTTCAGGAAATTGAATTGCCTAGAAATTATTTTTTTGGTAATTGTAAATTATTATATTTGATTGGTATAATTTTCCACTTGAAAAATGTTGAAATAAAAGTGTTTTTTTGGTATTCGTTTGGCTCTTTTTGATATGAAAATTGTCAATTAAATTGATAGATTTTACTGGTATTGGAGATGAAACTTGTTTCCATTGCCAAAAAATAAAAAGAAAAAAAATTCAAGAAAATCATCTATCTTTTAATATTCGTTTGGCTTTGTTCTATATAAAAATTGTCAATTAAAGAAAAATATTTTTTTATAATAGTTTTTAGGATTTGTTAACTTTGCCAATCAAAAAAAAAGAGAAAAAAAATATATGTGCTACAATAACCGAGAAAACTTATTCCCACTATATAAAAACCAAGAAAATTTCAAATTTCAAGAAAAGAAAGAACTTGAATTCCATGAAAAAATATACCCATCAAATACCTTAAAAATTGGAAAATGTTGTTGAAATTCCAATTTCCATGGAAACTTTTGGTGTATCAAACACACCCTAAGGGTTCGTTTGATTGCAAAGATGGAATTTAGGTGAAAAGAAAACGAATTCCAGGGAATTGAATTGCCTAGAAATTGTTTTCCTGAGAACTGTTAATTTTTGTGTTTGATTGGTATAATTTTTCATATGAAAAATGTTAATATAAAAGTTTTTTTGGGATTCGTTTGACTCTGTTCTACATGAAAATTATCAATTAAAATGATCAAATTTTACTGGTATTGGGCATAGAATTCGTTTCCATTGCAATAAATAAATCATCATCTATCTTTTGGTATTCATTTGGTTTTTTACATGAAAATTGTTAAATAAAAGAAAATATTTTTTTATAATAGTTCTCGGAATTTGTTTCCATTGCCAATAAAAAAAAAAAAAACTTGAACAGTAAGTTGGAAAACCAAGAAAATGCTAATTTTCAAGACAACCAAGAAAACCGAATTCCATGAAAAATAAAAACCTATCAAACGCACAAAATTGAAAGAATGTGGAATTCGAATTCCAATTTTCATGGAATTCAAACCAATCAAATAGGCCCTAAGAGTGTATTTGAGTGGCTTTATTTTTCATGAAAAATGTTATATTTCCATTTAAATTCCTACTTTTGAGATGTTTTCCCAAAGCAAAAAATCAATACCAAATATGCACTAAGCTGTATTTATGCCTTCTTTGATGTAGATTTTTTGATAATAGAAATGTGAAATGTGAGTTTTTTCCCAACTTGTGTTGAAAAATATGGATAAAATTAAAATTATTTTGTCCAGAGAATATGCCGTTTTTAAAATTTTTTCCCAAAAAAAAAAAAAAAAAAAAAAGAGGAAAATATTTTTTTTCGAGAAAAATGATTTTTATTTTCCAGGTAATTTACTTTTTCATCTATCTTTCTCTTCTCATCTACCCACCAATAAAAAATAGACAAGTATAATATTTTCGTGGTCAAAAATTAAATCAATCGAACACATTTAATTAATAATTTTCATGCAGATAATACAAATTTCATACTCACAATCAATATTAATCTAAGTTCATTTGAGATTTTCGCACAGACCATAGTTTATACGTTAGCTCCCAATAAGAAACCCATTAGCCCACCACCATTAAAAACCCAAAATATCTCCCACTCTCTCTCCACAAAACCTTCGAAAACCTAAATCCTCTTTCTACCCTTTCCAAATCCCTTTGGAGTTTGGAGATTTCAATCCTTTCCCTCCTAAATCATTTTAAAATTTTCAACCATCTCGCTAATTCTTACACACTACATTATTCCCATTCATTTTTTTTTCTTACGTCCAGAAATGTCAACGAGTCAAGTTGAGTTAGCTCGCGGCTCGATCATTTTTAAAACATGCTTTTTTTGGCTCGAACCAAGTAAAAGCTCGGCCAAAAAAATAAGGATCGACCTGAGACAAGCTAGGCCAAGCTCTGTTTTCTAAAAAAAATTTAAATTTTTTCCCTAAAAATGCTACCTGTTTGGTAGCCAAAATTGCTGCCAAACAGGCAACTAAAAAGTTTGGCAGCCATTTATGTTGCCTTTTTTACTCCCTCCCTTTTTTTTTTCAAGCTAAGTCACAGGCGGTTCGAGTCGACGAGCCCGATTGTCATCCCTACTTATGTTCCATGAATTTCATAGACGTGGCTTCTAAAATGGTCTAGTAAAGTAGCAATGTTCTCACTATTTCGACGAAGTTCCATGCCTTGGGTTCTCATGTTGCAAGATGAGGACGACAAGACTTGATGGAGACTGGATGAAGGATGGGTTGTTGAAAAAATAATGGATAAATATATATCACTTTTGACACTTAAAATTACATATTTTAAACAAGTGGATGAATAAATTTCACTCTTTTGAAAAATTTGGGATTACAATTTAATTAATTCTTTATTTTTTCTTCCATTCTTTATTTTTAATTTAAAGAAAATGGTATATTAGTCATTTTACAAGGTTTTATTGAAAATATTGTATTCCACGAAGAAAATATCATCTAGAAGGGTATTCCAAT